GATTCGTGAGAAAAATCGAATTTGGGCTGCAGGCAAGAACAAGATAAGCATCTTCAAAACCCACCAATAGACCCTCCTCGATTTACGACGACCAGGGGAAAAAGTGACTTATGACTGGTCATAAGTCTTAGTGACCGTTGCAACGTCCCCGTCATCACCAGAAATTCAAGGCCCCCCCCCGAAGAGAAAATAAACAGAAAAATAACCCAAAGGCGAAAATCTGAAGCACCCCTTAAATTTTTAATCGATCGATTTTTAAAGTTTAAAATAACTCAGACTTTAGAAACACGGGATGCGTAGTTTAAAACTCGGACAATAAAACGGATTGGGTATATAACTTATTGTTGATGTAATTCGTTCATAAATAAATATATATTAATTTTAAAATATATTTTATATATAGAGAGAGAGGGAGGGAGAACTCCAAACTATTATGAAACTTGACGTATTATGAAACAGGCATTATCTAAACAATATGACCTAGATGCTTTAAGAATCTCTTGCAATTTTAGCCTCTTTTTTTAAGACACGAAGCACTGACAACTGAATTTGATGGGTTATTGAAAAAAAAGGATTGAAAAATGGATTAGAAAGAGAGAGAGAAAGAAACAGAGGGGAAGGGAGAGAAAGAGAAAGAGAGACAGAGAGAAAGAGGGGGGAGAAAGAAAAAAGAGAGGGATAGAGGGGCAGGAAGGAGAGAGAGAAGAGAGAGTCATGTAGGGGGGAGAGAGAATGAAAGAGAGAAAGAGGAAAGCAGGATAAAGGGAGAGGTACAGGTAGAGAGAGAAAAAGAGAGAGAGGGGGACAGAGAGAGAGAGAAAGAGAGACAGAAAGAGAGGGAGAGGGAGAGAAGGGGAGAGAAGAGGGACAGAGGGAAGGAAGGAGAGAGAGAAGGAAAGAAAGAGAAGGAAAGAGCAGGAGAAAGAGAGGGAGGGGGGAGAAAGTGAGAGAAAGAGATTCAGAAAGATAGGGAGTGGGGAAGAGAAAAGAGAGGGATAGAGGGAGGGGAGAGGGAGAATGAAAGAGAGAGAAAGAGGTAAGANTGGACGCCCTTTTGCACCGGGAGTATCCTTCCCCATGCTCCCCGGCCGGGATCCTGCGGGTCATGGGCTTTGGAACCCCGCTTCTCTGCGGGGCGAAGGGCGAACGGACCTCGCTGGACGCCCTTTTGCACCGGGAGTACCCTTCCCCATGCTCCCCGGCCGGGATCCTGCGGGTCATGGGCTTTGGAACCCCGCTTCTCTGCGGGGCGAAGGGCAAACGGACCCCGCTTGGGCGACCTTCTGCACCGGGAACACCCCTCCCCATGCTCCCCGCCTGGTATCTTGCGGGCTGCGGAGCATGGGCTTTGCGATCCCGCTTCTTTGTGGGTGGGGGGCAAACGGACCCCGCTTGGGCGACCTTCTGCACCGGGAACACCCCTCCCCATGGTCCCCGCCCGGTATCCTGCGGGCTGCGGAGCATAGGCTTTGCGATCCCGCTTCTTTGTGGGTGGGGGGCAAACGGACCCCGCTTGGGCGACCTTCTGCACCGGGAGCACCCCCCCCCCCCAATGCTCGGCCGGGATCCTGCGGGCTGCGGAGCATGGACTTTGACCTTTCTTTGCATTGCAAAAGACACGTGGGCGTGGCGGGTCGTGGGAATGCCTCTCCACGCAGGCACGCGGGGTGGGGTGGGGGGTTTACAGAAGGCAAATCCCCGAAAATAGTCGGCCTGAATTCTTTTTTTCACCTTGCCAGGCCCGGGCGAGGTCGAAAGGGAAAGGCGGAAATCTCTTGATCCCCGGGGTTTTCTTCCACGCGGGTGGAGTTGCGTTCCTGTGTCGGAATTCCCCCGACACGCGTGTTAGCCGGCTCCCTGCCTGCTTTCGTTTTTGCTCCCGCCGCCACTTTCGTTTTCCCAGCTTTTTGGGTTAAGATGACTAAGAGAGAAAAGGGATTAGGGGGGGTTGAAAAAGCAAAATACAGCAGCGGCCAAAATTGTGGAAATCTTTTTGGGAAACGTGTACAGTATTTTTGAGGTTTGATGGCTAAGAACACCCCTTTTTTCTTTTGGAGTAGTACCATAACATTATATATCAATGGAAAGATAACTTAATCAAGAATGTAATGCAATAACTTTTATGGAGGGTTTGCTATTAGAATAGCAGTTATAAAAAAAACTAAAATGAAACACATAGAAAAAAAATGAGATATACAATATTTATCATAGGAAAAACAAGATATACAAATATTATCACCATGTTAGTTAATAGTTGGGTAACCTTTAGCATGAATTATGGTCTTACAACGTCTTCCCATGGAGCGAACCAAGTCTTTTAGTTCTGCAGCTGTTATAATGTGAAACCAAGATGGAATGATTGCTTCTATTAACTGGGTTTGATTGCTGGCTCTATTTGGCTATAACCTTTCATAGGATACAGATAATTGAACAATCTCTGTGGCATTACATTCTTGATTAAATTATCTTTCCGTTGATATATAATTTGATGGTGCTACTCCAGAAAAAGTGGTGGTGTTAGCCATCAAACCTCAAAAAGACACTTTTCCCCAAAGGTTTCCACAATTTTGGCCACTACTGTAGGTTATTTTTGCGGGCGTAAACGTGAGGACTCTCGCCCTTTGCTCAGCGGATTAACCTGTGAGCTTAATTTTAGGGATTTATGGCTCCAGGGAGGCCCGCTTGGCAGTTGGAAAATGTCTTTCCCTATGGAGTAGCTGAATAAATTCTTCCTGGGATAAAATGAGAATTGAGATCGGTGGAACCTGCCCAACGTTTTTCCAGACTCTCCACGCATCATTTCCTGCTTGTCGTCCCCCCCCCCCCCGCTTACCAATTAGTAGAAATTAGCATGGGAAGAGGAACTAAAGAGTGAAGGAGAGTTGGCTTGAACTGAGATCATGGCATCCGGCCCCCTCAATTCCTGGCAAATAGATGGGGAAGAAATGGAGGAAGTGACAGATTTTATTTTCCTGGGCTCCCAAGATCAACGCAAATGGGGACTGCAGCCAAGAAATTAAAAGACGCTTGCTCCTGGGGAGGAAAGCTATGGCAAATCTAGACAGCATACTAAAAAAACAGAAATATCACCCTGCCAACACAAGTGCGCATAATCAAAGCTATGGTTTCCCCAGTTGCAATGCATGGCTGTGGACCTTGGACCAGAAGGAAGGCTGAGCACCAAAGAATGGAGACCTTTGAACTCTGGTGCTGGAGAAGACTTCTGCAAGGCGATCCAAACTGTCAGTCCTAGAGGAGATCCATCCTGGCTGCTCCTTAGAAGGCCAGATCCTAAAGAGGAAACTCAAATACTTTGGCCACCTAATGAGAAGGAAGGACTTACTGGAGAAGAGCCTCATGCTGGGAACGATGGAGGGCAAAAGAAGAAGAAGGGAACTTCTTCTATCTATCTAGCTGTCTGACTGACTGCCTACCTATCTATCAACTTGCCTATCTACCTACCTATATAATTATCTATCTATCTATCTATCTATCTATCTATCTATCTATCTATCTATCTATCTATCTATCTATCTATCTATC